GTCTGTCTGTCTGTCTGTCTGTCTGTCTGTCTGTCTCTCTCTCTCTCTCTCTCTCTCTCTCTCTCTGTTTCTCTCTCTAACTGTACAACTGGCCTTCATCATGGGCAAGAGGTAAAGGTCATGAGAGAAATAAAATCAGATAAATGTCATGGGCCAGAAGTATGTCATGGGACAGAGATAAAAGTCATGATAAATGTCATGGGCAATATATAAATGTCATGATAAATGTCATTGGCCAGAGGTGTATATGTCATGGGCCAGAGACAAATGTCATTTGTCAGGGATAAATGTCGTGATAAATGTCATGGATCAGGGATAAATGTCATGGGTCAGAGATAACTGTTCCTGTCATGCTGTGTGTCAGGTGATGGCGTCGTGCGTGCTGTACCCAGTGGCCTATAGCATGGGCATTCACCCTGACGACTATCGCGTGGTGGGAATGCTCTTAGGCCAGATATAAATGTCCAAGGTCAGAGATAAATGTCGTGGGACAGAGATAAATGCCGCGAGAGAGATAAAATCAGATAAATGTCATGAGAGAGATAAAATAAGATAAATGTCATGAAACAAAGATACAATAAGATAAATGTCATGGGACAGAGATAAAGTAAGATAAATGTCATGGGTCAGAGATAAAGTAAGATAAATGTCATGAAACAAAGATACAATAAGATAAATGTCATGAGACAAAGATAAGATAAGATAAATGTCATGGGACTGAGATAAAGTAAGATAAATGTCATGGGTCAGAGATAATAACTGCTTCTGTAATGCTGTGTGTCAGGTGATGGCGTCGTACGTACTGTACCCAGTGGCCTACATCATGGGCATTCACCCCGACGACTGCCGTGCGGTGGGAATGCTCATGGGCTACCGGATCTTCACGGCCAACTTCGTGGCTTTCCTCAAGATGGCGGAGCTGAAGGGCAACAAGGCGGCTTACGACGGCTACATGTTGGCCACAAACTTCACGGGAGGCGTGGAGTACACTCGTGATGACGTCATTCTCTCCGGATTAAACGTCACGCTGAAAAATGGCTTTATTAGATATGTGGGTATTGTATTGTATTGTTGTTGTTCTTTCTATTTAATTTTTTTTTTGGGGGGGGGGGGGGTTATGTTGTTATTGTTCTTGATGTCTTTGTCATTGTTGTTGTTATTGTTATCATTATCTCATATTCAATACCCCCCCCCCCCCCCCTTCGTCGTTTTGTACTACACGTTAATCCGGGCAAACTATAACAGACAAACAATCACAGACAGTAGTGTACAACTTTATAATCTGTCTAAGACTAGCGTGTACAACTTTCTACTGTCTATGACTAGGGTGTATGATGACTTTCAGTCTCTATCTATGACTGGGGTGTACAACTTTCTATCTATCTCTGTCAATGACTGAGGTGTAGGCCCTACAACTTTCTATCTCTGTCTATGTCTTGAATGTACAACTTTTCTATCCCTCTATCACGTGGGGGTACAACTTTCTAAGATCTCTGTCTATGAATAAGGTGTACAACTTTCTGTCCCTGTCTATGACTGGAGTGTACAACTTTCTGTCTCTGTCTATGACTGGAGTGTACAACTTTCTATCTCTGTCTATGACTGGAGTGTACAACTTTCTATCTCTGTCGATGACTGGAGTGTACAACTTTCTATCTCTGTCTATGACTGGAGTGTACAACTTTCTATCTCTGTCTATGACAGGAGTGCACAACTTTCTATGACCTCTGTCAATGAATTGGATGTGCAACTTTCTACTGTCTATGACTAGGGTGTACAACTTTCTATCTCTGTCTACGACTGGAGTGTACAACTTTCTGTCTTTGTCTATGGCAGAAGTGTACAACTTTCTGTCTCTGTCTGTAACAGGAGTGTA